ATCTCCTTCTGAGGTGGGATGGGCAACTACAGACCCCAGCATCTTTTCTTATACCTTGGTCTCAACTTGGTTTGGCATCCCTCTTGATACTGTGCTTACTAGGCTGGCTTTCCTTTTGGTCTTGAGATCCTGATTTGAGTTCACCCTAATACTCCATTTTCCCACCTATGGGTACTTTGGGGCTCCCCAGAGCGCACCACCCTAGCAGCTCTCTGCTGCCCCCTCCTGCCACCAGCAGACAACCATTGTGTGGATCCAGTGGGATCCAGTTTACACTGGGCCCCCCCACCTTCTTCCAAAGACAGTCTTTGCACTCGCTTAGGTCTAAAAGTCCATTACACAAATTCTTTTTTATATTAAGTCAGTTGGGGAGAACAAACAGACTCCATAAATCATTAACTGTTTGCAACACCAAGCTCAAAAGACCTCCGGTACAATAACTATTTGTCCTTCCTCAGAGCCACCCAAGGCCAAACTGTGAAGATTTGTCTTCTCATCCTTCTCTTTCTGCATTAGGTTCCCATTAATGGTTACCCCGGTTCAGGATCCATGAATGAATCCCTCATTTATGGAATATATCCTGAATGACCAGCACTGTTAAGTAAAAGGGTTCCAAAGATGAATAAGATTTTATCCGCCAAGACCTCGATGTCTAGACTAGCACTGTCCAATAGAACTTCTATAATGATGGAAATGTTCTTTATCTGCACTGTCCAATAATGCAGCCACCAGCTAATGACCACTTGATATGTGACTAGTATGACTGGGGAACTGAATGTTTAAATTTTAATTAATTTTAACTTAAATTTGAGAACTAAGCAGTGTAAAATATTTTTCCTTTAAACACACTTTAGGGGCGCCTGGGTGGCTCAGTTGGTTGGGCGACTGCCTTCGGCTCAGGTCATGATCCTGGAGTCCCTGGATCGAGTCCCGCATCGGGCTGCCTGCTCGGCAGGGAGTCTGCTTCTCCCTCTGACCCTCCCCCCTCTCATATACACTCTCTCATTCTCGCTCTCTCAAATAAATAAATAAATCTTTAAAAAAAATAAAAATAAAAATAAACACACTTTAATGTTCTGGTAGGACATTTTAACTATTGAAAATTCAGCACCCAAATTGAGATATGATGTAAGTATAAAATACACGTGTGATTTCAAGGACTTAGTATGAAAATTAGAATATAAAATATCTCATTAATAATTTTATATTCATTACATGTCAAATGATATTTATTGGATAATATAACTAGTATAGATTAGATACTATAGCTATATTAGGTTAATAGAACATTTATATTAAAATTAATTATACCTGTTTCCTTTTACCATTTTTTTAAGTTTTGTTTATTTAAGTAATCTCTACCTCCAACATGGGGCTCAAACTCACGACCCCAAGATCAAGAGTTGCATGTTCCACCAACTGAGCCAGCCAGACACCCCCAGTTACTAGAAAATTTTAAATATGTAGCTTGCTTTTAAATTTCTACTGGATAGCACTGTCTAGACAAAAAAAAAAGTGACATCTAAACAGTCTCCTACTAAAACTATAGTTTCCTGAAACTTACACAAAAGTCTAATGCATAAAAGTTAAACACTAGACTTACCTGATATAACAGAATAGAATAGTTAAAGAGGTAAAAAAAATCATAAGATCCTTAATTTCAACAGGTATTAGGTAATGGCCTTTTATCCTAATTGAAAAAGTAATTCATGCTTCTTATTAAAAATTGAAACATTATAGAAATAACTCTGAAAGCTAAATTATTCCTAGAAATAATTAAGTTTTAGCTACATAAAAACATATTATTATTGGTTATTATTTATTTATTTATTTATTTGAGAGAGAGCACATGGATGCACGAGTTGGGGGGAGCAGAGGGAGAGAGAGAAAGAGCCTCCCCACTGAGCAAGGATCCCAACGTGGGGCTCCATCCCAGGACCCTGGGATCACGACCTGAGCCGAAGGCAGACGCTTAACCCACTGAACCACCCAGATGTCCCTTATTTTTGTGAGTGTGACTTGGTAACTGTATTCTGGGGAGAACTGAATTGTATTCCACTATAAGGATGTATTATATAACTTATTCAACCAATTCTTTTTTTTTTCAAATGTTTTATTTATTTATTTGACAGAGAGAGGGAACACAAGCAGGGGGAGTGGGAGAGGGAGAAGCAGGCTTCCCGCCGAGCAGGGAGCCCAATGTGGGGCTCGAACCCAGGACCCTGGGATCACAACCCAAGCCAAAGGCAGACACTTAACCAACTGAGCCACCCAGGCGCCCCTGTTCAGCAATTTTTCAAAGTAACTTTCACAATTGATCTCTCTTTTCACTCTTATGATAAACCTGTGAAATAGAAGAATGGTATATTTATCCTCATTATACTGAATGGGATAATGAGACACAGAATGTAGGTGACTTCCCCAGTGTCACAGAGTCGAAACTAGAGCCCAAGCTTTCCGTATCCCAGCTCCATGAGTTAGCGTTCCACACTATGTCAGAGAAGATGAGATCCAATCCAAAGTGAGAGATCCCAATCATCGTGTCTAACTGTGGAGTAGTCTCTTTGGCAAACAGAAGCTCCCTCTAGGATAGATACCTGAAGATGTTCTTCAGCTTCCAATTCCACCAGATGTTTTACTTGTTCTTCATTCCTTGGTAAGATCTCAAGAACTTGGTCCCTAAGAATATTAACCACAGACATGATCTTAAAAGCAAAGCCTGGACACTCTTTCCTGTTGCTTTCTGCTCCTGTTACTCTCTGCATGTAGGAGGTTAATGGAGCAGTTAATAATCTCTTTGACAATTGAGAAACTAATAAATTGTACACTGACCCACTTCCCCAGAATGAGGACTTGGTAGAATGGCTTTACTTCCCCCCAAGGAAATGGTATCTAGATAATAATTAAGAGGTGTACCTACGCCTAGCAGGAAG